CTGACTATGATCTGTTTATATAAAAGCATAAAGAAAAACATACTCACGTTCAGTAGAAATAAAGTCGTAATATAGTTACGTGTGTTATGACCTACACTTATATGTTATAGACGTCTAGAATAAACTAGAACAACAATAATACGTTTACTTAACATCACTGATACTTGAATACCAGAGAGAACAAAGCTTACCGGAGAAGGTTGAAACGGACTTCTTCAACTCCTGGGCACACAAATAGTTGGTAGTAGTCCTCCTCGGATTTGGACCTTGGAGTAGATACAAGCAGCACGCTTGCTCGGCATCAACATTGACTTATAGATTCAAGAAATAACACAATAGCACATCTTGGCGATAAATTTAGCGAGGGCTAATTGTCACTCATTTCCGCCTAATGAATCCTCACCCTACTATAAGGTCTTATTTGATTATCAAACACCCTCTAGTTGATATTGCATCTCTACTACCTTACATCAACCAATAAGAGAATTGGATATAGTAGAGTGAGTGCTAAATAGCTCTAAGTGAATGATAACTAACCGTTCACTAAATTTGTTTAATCGAAGTGTATCTTCACAGTCTCGTAGGGTGGTACTCAGAACAGATAGTTATGTGTATTGCTACATATTGTATCTTATCTTATGTATACATTTAAATGTGCATATCCCACACGAATCTAAGTATAAATCGTTCATAAAAATCTAATAGTCACCCATCTAGATAGTGAACAAGAACCTAAAATTCATATATTGTTTTGCTGTGTAAACAAAGAACGAAAGGCATGAATAGCCATCGCAAACCTGCGACCATATCATCACCCTCAGCTAAGAAAGCTTAGGGACATGTAACAAACTATAAGGATGGTCGAAATCTTAGAGTGATGTCAACAACGACTACATAGAGCAAATATCACGCAATGCACGTTCAAAAAACTTGCTCTAGCGCTTTCAATTCCAGAGGTTTTGAAACTGTATAGACAATGAAGTGAAATAAAGTCCCGATCTGATTTTATAGATTTTCTGCATAGCTCAAAGGACCGATACATGTAAATTCCACGAGCAAAATAGGGATTGACCACAAGATCAGATGTATCCTGAACCGAATTTTTTGAAAAGATATCAGTTGCATGTCAAAGTCAACCGGCACTCATGAGCATGGAAAGTGTGTATTACTTGGTTCGCAAATCTCCATGCACCTGTTTCTGGAAGAGCAAGAATTCTAGATATAGCAAGAATGAAATCCTCTACGGCAGCACCAAAATCCATCAGTATCCAAATTCATCAACACCCATCAAAGGGGCGAAGTAGTTGGGTTACAACCAGTCACCACCGGAAAAAAAGATTTCCTCTCGAATTCATGACAGATAACTGTATTTTATCAAGGAAGCTCGGGATTCCGTGCTCCTTGGCCATATTTCAATTCCCTACTTCCATCCGCCATAATTTTACTTCCATGGACAAATTCATGTAAATAATCTGACTCAAATATATATCCTTTCGACTTTTTAGAGTCTACAAGGGCATTCGGGGATGCAGATGATGTGGCATATATGTCTTACACATTTACTTTAATAAAATCCGGATGCACTTTGAGAAAAGACATTCCAAATTCTGATCTCACATCTCCTCAACATGTTTGTGTCGATGCCAAGTTCTTTTTATGAAATTTTTGTGCTATACTGCTTGCAGTTTGCTGGATGGTATTGGCATGCCATAGTGCAGCTCCGCAATAGTCCGAATTCTGATGTGTGTGTTGCATAATGTGAAAGAAAACTGGAGTGTCTAATTTAGTATGTCATATCCCAAAATTGTGGAAACTTGGTAATCAGGAATTTGTGCAATGCAAAGCCATTACACGAAATCCTGACTTCCGCGACTTTCAAGACATGCCCCACACCGGCAGAAAGATTAAGAATCATCAGGTTCCTCCACACAAGATGTATAAAAATAGCGGTGAAAGGCAATCAATTAGCTAGATTTCAACCAAATTCAAGGCAGGTCCAATCAAGCTGAGGTTTGGCTCTAAATGTATGACTTCTTTTCTCCTCAACATATTTCACTGAACTTGCTTTGGTGATTCTTAACAACCTAGTAATTTCCAGCTCATTTTTAGTTACTAGAGTCTTATAATCCCATTACACAAGCTAAAGTGTAATATTTTTTAATCATTAGTGTTATAATAATGGCTAATTCATCTAATTTTGAAGATCATGATATTGATATTAAAGATGGTCAAGTCCCCATGGCCCTTATGGGCTGGGCTACACACGTGCTACAATGGCAATTACAATTGGAAGCAATGCTGTAACGCGGAACGAATCCAGACATTGCGTTGATTTTGAAAGAAGAATAATTTTCCTAATCTAATATTAAATATTTGTCAAAATATTTGAAGAAAATTATACTATGAGAGCGGAAGAGCTAGTGCAGTTACTAAAAGATCAAAACTTGATTTAAAGCAAATAAATTTACAAGCTGAAAAATAATATAGCTGATGAGAAAAAAACAATTTTAGTTAAGTTGTGTTAAGTCAATTTAAGTAGAGTAAAGTAAAGTAAAATTAAAGCTCAAGGTTTTGTATAAAAAAAGTGATCTTGCACTTTACAATTTTAATTTTTGTTAGATAATTTTCTCTTGTAAATATTTTGTTCATGTTTTTTTCTTGTTAGCATTCATACAATTTGGTCTTATCTGATTACGTCTGATTATTGATGATATCGATGATTTAACTGAAAAATTTATGAAGACGGCAGGATTATGATCAAAATCAGTCATTTGATTTATCAGTTCTTAATTGTTGAAATTAATTCATGTTAAGTAGTAATCTCAATCCTAGCTAAAGATAGCTAGAAAGGTCATGGAGGTACTTAACTTCAGTGAACTGAGACAGTACAAATTTATTTGGTCATTGCAATATATTCTCTCTCGCGTGTTCCAACCGTGAGAACTTTGTCCTTGGTCTTGACATTAACTCTGGTTAAGGAATAACCTTGGATTCTAGCTATTTTTAGCTAGTACTATTTTTAGCCAAGGGTTTTGGATGAACTTCTTTTTCACATAGTGTACTAAACTCTGTATTTAAATTTAAAACGCATTTCTTAGCCGGGGACGTAGAACTCCAAAAGGTGAACCACGTTATACTTTGTGTCTCGTGTATTGGCTTAAGTTTCACCGAACTAACTTATTGTTCATGATTCTTGATTTATCATCTTTTATAGTTGGATGCACCAACTTGTCTTCTGTTTATTGTATCACTAGCACCGGCTGTGTTTATCTATCTGTCTGGCTATGACTATCTCGAACTAGCATTAATTTTTAGATCAGAACATCAAAATATCACAAAATTTGCAAACTTTAAAATGACAAATGATCGAGAATGAAAGTATGAAAATCTCAAATACAATATGAAATAAGTTGGTTGTCATGAGGACTAAAAGAATTTAATGCTAACTAATCTTTGAGCAATCACACTTCTCGTCCACGAGCACAACTGTTTGAAAGTTTGTAAGTGCAACAAGAATCTGTTGACTCCGGGATAAATCATCAAATCCTTAATGATATTTGTGGTTCATCACTAAATTTAATGAGTGTGTTTACAAGCATTAAGAACCTTTTCTTCTTATTATAAGTGAATTTGAACCTACATATGAAAATCAGTGTAGAAAAAAAAATGGCATAAAAGAATAAGATTTTCTATCCAACAACATACTAAACATGAGCACTATCTGGAAAAAAATAGTCTACGAATAATCAAAGTTAAATTGATGAAAATAAAAAATGTCGATTTGTTGGAATGAAAACACTTTAAAATGTATATTTAGTGAAAAAGGATACACATTACCTTTCCACAAATGGATTTTCATCATATGCTAGATATTTTGCAAACATTGTACTTTTTTTCATGCACATGTAACACATTTTACTTTTTTCATTCAATTAACCTACTCTAATTAATTGGAAAACCCTGTAGTAAATGTGAATCTTCAAGTAATTTTTTATTCCATGATTTCTCTTTGCCATTTCGATGAAGGTAATTTCCTTTACGACAAAATTGAAGATGTTAAATTGATCATTTTCTCGAAATGTCTTGTACTCGCCTTACTGAAATTAATATCATTTTCAATGTTGCAGGTATTGCTAGCACTTATGCTCGAGAGTGGTCAATAATCACCATTCGGTCTCAACTCCATGAAGATGCCAAGAGATTTCCTCTACTTGTTGATGAAGTCTCTCATTCAATTCGGTGAACTTGGCTTTAGCTTCTTTCATCGATAGAATTTGGTGTAGGACTGATTTGACTCCTGCCCAACTTGTTGTTGAAGTTGTTCATTCTCAATTCAGTGAACTTGGCTTTGGCTACTTTCATCCAATAGACTTCGGAATAGATTTGCCTTGATTCTTGCTTACTTTGCTCCACCGCAGTGTTCTGCTACACCAGCTTTCAGATGTTGAAGAGCCTCCTCTTGGTCGTGTCTGCAAGGGATCCCAATTGCATGGTCTACTAACTTTCCGAGTATCCCTCTTCCTGTGCGTTTTACCCGCGAATGTGCGTATTGACCTGACGTTAGACGACTTCGTATTTTCCGTCTTCGCGACTTCAACATTTGTGCCTAGAGATCCTTGAGGCAAAAGGGCCCATTTCACCCATTTTCGTCTTCTACGATGGTTTCGGCACTGACATAGGCTCGCAATTCAGATTTGACTTTTAGCTAGATTCGGCGATAATGATCTCTGTCCTGTACTTCTGGCCATGTTTTCGAATCACGTCCTCCAACTCCGCCGAAAATACGTTGACACGACTCTGAGGTTTTCTATGTTTCCACATAGAAATTTGTTCCAAGCTTCTTCGTAAACTATAGCTACTCGACGCACATCCAATAATTATAAAGTCCGTGTTGCGGGCGATTTGTAATCACTCAGTTCCCCAAAAGTTTACAGTGTTAGGATTTAGGTACTCTTCCACAATAAAAAAGCAGGGCTTGTTTGACATAAGCTTCTCACGTTGACGCAATGAAAAAAACCGTTCATTTCGAAGAATATAAACTTCCATCAAATATACTCACGTATCCTGGGCCATGTATATACAAATAGCCAGAGGCCACGAGAACAGCTGATCTAATGGCACATCTGTTTGACTGAAATTTTTGTGTACGGTAGAACCATCGCGTCTGCTAAACTAGATGCTTTCTCAAATCCTAATACTTTCTCCACAATTGCTAGAGCAAACTCCATAGCTGTTCCAGGACCGCGACTTGTAACTAATAATCCATCAATGACAACCCTGGCGTCCACGGCACTTTGATCTGGTAAAGCTTTGGAGAAGCTTGGAAACGATGTGGCTTTCTTTCCCTGATCACCCATCATTTAGCGTAAGATGATGAGTACTACTTCTTTCTTGCACACGACATAGATATTCAAATAGTGCTGAAATAAAGCGCCCAGCACCCTTGCAACTTTAACGCGAGACCCAAGGCTTCATTCACAAAGACATCAAAATGGTACGTACAAATATCAAACGGCCAACGCTCTACAATTCTACGACAAGGAATATACATGGATGATAAAATAGGATATCACCTTCAAAAACCCTTTCGGCTCCAGCACCACAGCGGGTGACGCGCAAATGGCTCCAAAAATCCCTTTAGAGTCTACTTGCTTCCGAAGAACTCTTGTCAGTGTATCACAGTTACAAAGACGTTCCGCTCCAGGCATCCCGCCCTGATTGCACAAGCCAGAAAGACATAATTGAGATATCTTCTATCTAAGGTCACTGAGATTGTCTGCGCTGTTATCACTGCCTCTACTATCCAGACATTGAAACGGCCAGTTACAATATTTCGATGGTGTGCAACAATCAAAACATCTCACATCTGCATCGTACCAACTAGCTTCAATACTAAGGTGGTTCACCAATCATCGACCATCTGCACAAAGGTGGTCCATGCTGAGGAAGTCATTTATGTAAGTAACACGAAGGTAAGCAACAACATCAATTTTACTATGATACCAGGCCTTCCAGAGTACCTAACCTGTACCCTACAGTACATGCCTGTCACAGACCATAAACTGTCTGAAAGGAGGGAAGAGAGTAAGTAGAAGACGGGTTAGAAGTAAGAAAATTACGAGGGAAGAACATGAGAACGAGAAAGGACTCTTCACGTGAGATCTTTCCCAACAAATGAGATAAATTATAAGTTTGGATATAATAAACAAGAAACCCTGAACTAAATCATCCACCTCACAATACTCCCAAAAGTGCGGCTAATTTAGGCATCGGACCAAGGCTATTGATTTTGTTAACAGCTTGGACTCTAAAACATATTGCGACACGATTCGCTCTCATACTCCACAATGGACTGTACTTCATCGAACAGTGTACGGGAGTTCTGCACTCCTTACCACAAAGTGAGCAAGTTGTTAGTGAATCCCGTATTGCTTCAGGATATACATAGAAGCTATAGAGAGATGAGAAGGATACTTACTGGTAATATGATAGCGTTGAATTCTAATGTTTCCACATCTTCGAGAAGCGCATCAGCCACAATTTTCACCTTTCGAGACGCTACGATTTCTAGCTTCTTCTCCACGGATGCTACTACCACATCAAATCCTGCTCTTCTGAGCACATCAATAATAATGACAGCTTCCATCTCCTCCACCCCATCCGCAACAGGCACAAGAACCTATGAACCGTGGAACAAACGATATATAATAAAAAACTGCTAGTTCGATTCAGATTTAAAATAACAACGGCCGTTTCTTTTCTATCCATTTGCATCGGAAAAAAAACAACACTTACACGAAATGCTTTCGAGGCATCTCTCCCCTTCCACTCTAAAGAATTGTACTCCTCTGCTGACGGTTTCACCTTTTCCGGACGAATCATCTGAAAGTACAAGGTGAAACTTCATCAATTCAACCATGTAACGAAGAAGTTCATTGGTACTAATGTGAAGGAAGTGATAAAGTAAAAGATAAAGTTCTATAGCACATTTTTCTGTGGACAACAAAGAACAAATTTTCACTGGACAATGAGCGATGACTGACTCCGCCTAAATCATAGTGAGATATTGTTAGAAAAGAACAGCTATACTATCTGTAGATTTGAATTTTGGGACCAATACTTTCAAGACATCAGATTCCGTATTCCCATCAGAATTTAGTTGACACATAAGTGCAAGTACATTTCATTATGAGTGAAACCAGTTGAAGTTATATAGGCTGCAGAGGTCAATTACACAGTTGTATATAACAAACGAAATTTATACCAGAGGCTTGGAAATCTCGTCCATCTTTTCCTTGCCGTATAGCTGTTCCACGAGTGAGAGGGCAAACTCAAAACACGTGCCAGGGCCACGGCTTGTAGTCGCCTGACCATCTTGTACGACCGTCGACCCGGTAGCTTCCTGATTCGCCAACTTCTCTGAGAAGGAGGGATGACACGTTGCCTGGTTGAAAACGCAGAAGGCTGCTGTATGAACATTGCGTATTTGAAAGTCTTTAGACTGAACAATATGGAGGATGTGCTTAATTAATGGTATATGAGCTTCTCGAACAATCATATCTAACAAGATTGTCAACAAGGCAAGTTATGCATCAAACGGAGTGAGCACTGCTGAACGTGCCTTCAGTCCGTCGAGGAGACCCCAGGTTTGCAAAGCGACAGCTGGGGCGGCACACACGGCCGCAAAGAGTCGCTTTTGCTCGGCTTGAGCTTGAACTAACTTCTGCAATGCTGGGGTGTCCCGCAATCGTTCTGCACCTGGCATGCCTCCCTGACACCACGGAATGCTTCAGACGATCTTGTGCATAGCTCCTTACCCTAAATCCATCCCATAGTTGCAAAGTTGAAATCTTCTAACTTCAGTGAGCACATTACAAAAAACTTAACAGGCCAAGCTAAAGCCAATTTCGACATTCCTTGCTCGAGAACGTCTGGACACGCATTTTGCACAGAAGAAGGCGAAAAGATATTGAACAGATGGGGTCCACTCCAAGTAACTTCCAGGAAGGTCAAAACTACTCCTGCACTTTGCCAGGCGAACCGAGAGTGGATGGTAACATGACTAAAACTCTGTACATGATAGTCCTAGTTGAGCACATACGCACGTAATTATCAAAATATCAGTTAGAGGAAATCCATCACAAGCTACTCACACGTACCGGTAAAACAATCAGATCGTACTGGTGGCTCTCGCAGGAAGCTATGTGCGTGTCTGCAACCAAATTCACCTTCCTAGATGCCAAAATTTGCAACTCGCTCTCGACTGATGCGATTGTAACATCGGCTCCTGCTCTACGCAAGACATCTGCAACGATAACGGCTTCCATTTCTTCCGTATCATTGGCGATCGGAACAAGGACCTGCAATCTCTTATTCGTCAACTCACAAAATATGCACCACAGAAGCACGGGCCTCGAACAAGAGGCGCAGGGCAGACGAACGACAATCATATCGGAAATCACGCTCGTGCGAAAGAACCCGCAAAGGGTTTGATAACCCGCGAATGAAAGCTTACAACTGTAAGTGATCGTTATGAAGATGTGATCGATCAAATTTTACTTTCAGAGACAATTTCACGACGAATTCGGCTCTCAGTCAACCTCGGCGGTCTAGCATACAACAAGATAGCTTGGTATTCCACGATGTATTGCGAAGAAGCCATTTGACAAAGTTCAATTTCCTTGATAGAAAGACACGGCCATGACACCATACTCGGAGTGTGGCTCATCCATTGTCCACGACGACAACCAAATGTAACACATCAAGAGAAGGTAGCCCTGTGGATTAAGACTAACAGCTAGCCTACCTTAGACATACCTGCTTGGGATCTGTTAATACAGCCATCGATGTGATAGGGGACGGGGAGGAAGAAGATGACGACAGGGAGAAGAATTGGAAGTTCTTGCCCTTCAGTCGAAATCGCTCCTCAGTTCCAGTAAATCCTCCGCACTTCCCCAGAACCGGATTTACAAAGAGAGGACTTTTTAGGCTGGTACCTGATATTTGCGGGAATCGGGATTGGACAAAGATGGTAGGGGCGATTGGGCTGTCTGCTATACCAGTGCACGTAAGAACATGCATCATCTGTTTAACTGCCATGACCCCGCACCACCTGACTGCTTGCTGCTTGCTACTTGCTCTGCTACCCTTCCACTGACTTTTGTGCCATGCGTTGTTTTGTTCCGCATGGAGTTTCTTGATAAGACCACCACCGTCGACGCTCCCCGCTCCCCCACGGGATTCGTGAACTGTTCGATGTTATCGGTACCCATGACTCCGCATCAGCCTGTCTACTTTACTGTAGCTACTCTGCACCCCACCTGAACATGCCTACCTGGCAACATTCTCTAGCCACCTGGCCGATACTTGGAAGTACAGTACACTTAAGTGTCAGTAGGATAGTATTTGCTTGCAATTGATCATTGATTTGATTTGGTAATAGGTGATAAACAGGCCTCTTCAGATATGGCATTTGGGGGAGCTATGCCATATTTGTCATAAATAATTTTGGCGTGATGCCATAAATAATGGAGGTCCAAGTCTCCTTTCGTTCTTGTTCACTATTAAAACGTTTTTGTTCTCTCTTCTTCGCTGTTGACGTTGATGAAATGTCTTCAAAGAAATGTAGAACGCCATTTAATCTCTCTCTCACATACTTGACTATGGGCTGAAGATCTTCACGTATGGTGTCGTTACATAGGGTTTTGTAGCTTTTTGCCAAGTATGAGCGGTGAAAAAAAATAATCGACATGAAGCTAGAATCACAAAATACTTTAAGGTTCCACATTGACTAGAGCTGGAATCAAAACATCTTGAAAGTAAACACTTTAAAGCAAATATGGAGTGAATATCATGCTCTGTAATTACACGTCAAACGAACTTTCTTTGAATACTATCTTACTCATTTTGTTGCGTCCTATGATCCATTGTGTTTGGATAATAACGTAAACATAGTTGACACAATTCTACTGCCTTTTATTTGATCTCAAAATTGAGAATGTATTCATTGATAGAATGAGAAAGAGAAGTTATCCTCTGCAAAACAGTGGATCAAATGCCAGAATCCGTGGAATTTGATGAAACATGGATTACTTTTGAACTTAGATTTTCCAAACCGTGTATTCTGAAACTATATGTTTGGAGGGTGATTTCTCCATGATTACCTAAGAGAAAGATGAGTATATATCTTCCTTAATTATATTGTCACTCTAGTAAGCATACATTATAAGTAATTCAAGCAAATTAAAATTAGTGTCATATTTGTCATAAATAAAAATTGGCTGATGCCATAATAGACTAAGTTATGACAAATTTGGCAAATGCCAAGTTAGCATAGCCTGGTGATAAAGATTAGCTTCTCGTACAGTTTTAAAATCTAGTGCCGTCGTCATACATTCGACCAGTCGGCGTATAATAATAGTTTTGTAAGATAGACGATTTAATACCCATTTACCAGGTTTTATGTTTCTTGTTACAGTATTTGATCATGATTTTAAAATACTCGCAATTGCATTATGTAGTCTTCATCTTTCAAATTACCTTCTCATAGAGTAATGTTGTTCTCTTTGGAAAAACTCTTCCCCACAATAAATTCACTTAGCCCTGATAGGCCAAGTGAATTGGAAACATAAGATCATTCACGGTTTTAGCCGTTTCGAAATTGTCTTGTCTCGATCATTTTCTTGGGTTTCTAGAGCATGTACGATTCCGTCTACATGGCCAAAATGGTTCTGCACAACATCAGTGTTGTACTCTTCAGTTAGTGGGCCCGGTTAGGAAACCTGTTGTCAGGCACCGCACTAGAGCTGGTTGTCATGGTTGGCGACGAAGGACTTTCCGTCGGCATTTCAGTGATGAATTTTAGTCATGAATTTAGGTGAAATATGTCGATGTGGCAGCTGTCATCTGGAGTACGTGGCATTCTTGCCAGTAAATTCCGGGCTAAGAATCTGGTGCTTATTTGTGTGGGAACGATTCTCGGTTCGAATCAGTTCGTAGAGCAAATTGTGTCTATATGCACATTCGGGACCTTTTAGTGACGGGTTAGAAGCCTAAAAACGTTGAAGTCTCCGTCGGAATGAAAAGTGTAGCCCCAATCGGATGCTCCTACCCTGGAGGACCGACATGAACCTCGGAAGGACTCTTCAACAGTCTCCACCAAGCGTAATACCCGTCAGCCAAGTCGACAACATGCGGATAGGATGGAAGACAAGAAACCCTAGAACGAAGGGTATCCACGTGGCTGGCCGCTCCTATCGTATGCAGTTTGTGCATCTCATCAAATGAAAGTTGTTACTCGTTGTTCCCACCTACTGGAACTTACTAGAAGAGCTTAAGGAAGAAGACGATTACGGTATGGGTGTCAGAATTGTCTCATCATTACCGGCCGTTCACGTAATCACGGGGTCTTAAAATTTTGTTACGACCTACTGTACCTACTCAGCACATCGAAAGTGAATGGCTATTCTATGTTAGTGTATTGCACTAGTCAAAAATCCAGATCCGTATGGCCAGACTATCTAACTGAAAGTGACCAGTGGAGCTCCATGTGAAAATTCAGTCACATCATTGGACTTGAATCCAAACGGGGGCCAAGTCCAAATACGCTGAGGGCATGTTAGCGTGGTCGGAACCATAAGGATGATGTGGACGATTGCGAAAGAGCTAACTTGACAAGTACGAATTTTTATTCGATTATGACTACACAGGGCTTTTCACATTTAGGCAAGGTTGGCCCGACGTCCTCGACCGCAATCCCAGGAGCTACCCTTTTGCATGGGGAAATACTGTAGTAGCACAAGGCGTAAAAATAACTTTCACTCCAAATGTAATGCATTGGGTTCTATTAGTTCCTGATAGACTTGAAATATATGTTTCTACAGACGTCGTCATCTGGACGTGAGAGTGACGACGCCAATTCCGACGACGAGGCAGCTGACGGTGAAACATGCGCGAATCGCGTGTCGCCACGTTTGCCATCATACACGTGGAGCTTGGGCATACGCTGTAGCCGGTCACAAATTCAGGGGTCTTTGTCTGAGAATTGCCGCCCCGCCCCGCATCGCTTTGAAGAAGTGGTGCGGAATTGAAGACATTTTGGGAAAAAGGCAAAAGATCGACTGAAAGAGGCAGGAAGAGGAGCACAGCGAAACGGGAGGGTTAAGGGAAGAGAAGGGAAACAACGAAGGAAGCGAGAAAGGTGTGGGGACGACGAACGAGGGGGCACCTGCTGCCGGTTAGATTTTTGCTGGATTGTGCCGGGGGAAGACGTTGTATCGTCGTCGAGGCCTCTTGCGGGAGGAGGAGTAGAGAGGAAGGCGCAGAGCGTGTTCGGTCAATCAGTGGCTGTGGAGGAAGACAGGACGAAGGAGGGAGTAACGAAGAAAGAACGACGCAAGAGCGAGCGAGAGAGAGAGAGAGAGAGAGAGAGAGAGAGAGAGAGAGAGAGAGAGAGAGAGAGAGCAGGAGAAGAGGAAAGCTCCAACGTTTGGTAGAATACGAGATCTTACAATCGTAGGGAAGCATCACACTGGCACACAAACTTACGTGGAGAGAAATGAGAGGTGCGGAAAGAAGCGGTGGCGCATGGCGTTGAGATCGGCTTTCAGTGTTGGGAAAAGAGCGAATGTGCGCTTGATTTCACATTGTAGCGCTTTTATGAGAAAGTGTGTGGGTTACCGATTTCAACAATCACTGACTTCACCGAATTTGAACGAATAGATCACAGTGAAGTCCCTGTCCAGGACCAGAGGTGAGTAGATTCTTGAGCCGTTTGGGAATTGAACTTCGCTGAATCCGTCATGAATGTCATGACAGGCGCCGAGCTTGAAGACATATGATGGGAGGGGTAGATGATGTTGGATTGTGTTCTCTCTCGCATCTGTGGGGTTCGAAGAATTGGTGACCTTGCGGATATCGATCATTAGGTTTTGTTTGGTGTTTCATTCCTATTTAAAATCGCTTGTTTGGTCGTTATACTTAGCATCTTTTGATTCGCCCTATCCTGTATTTTGCAGAACTTGGGAAGTGTGGACGTCTGGGGACGATAGATGTAGGCTTTCATATTTCACTGTACTTCTGCTACGGGCTTGCAATCGCATTCCAGTTCACGCCTTTCAAGTTCGAAACGATATCGCCGACAGGAGCTTTCGAATTCCGCCTGCATAGTCTCGAGTGGCCGGCACTCTAGGTTCGAATGTCTCACCGTACAGCAGCTACTGTTGTGGTGGTTGTTTCTTCATCGTACTCTGAATCACGCCTCTCATTCCATGTTGCCAACTTGCTTCTGTTCCACCTGTGAACGCTGCTGTGCAATTTACCCTCTTAATTTTCTCATCCACCTTGGCTGCCCATTTTCCCGCGTCACTCAGAAGGGTACATGGAATAGAATTGTAACTAGCTGCTTACTTGTCAACCTTCTCGTGTCTTTACGGGCGTTTCAAAGTCAGATGGTTCAACAGCCCATAAGAGCCGCTTAAGAAGGCCAATGCCGTAAATAATTAAGAGTTAGTAAAAGCTTCATAAAATATGGCACCCTCCTTCTTACGTGCAGCAGTGTCTTGCGTATTTTCATGTTTTTCAGGATCCCAGGCTTACATTCCTCAGACTTAAGTTTAGACCTGTCAATTTTGTTCGGCAGCTATGCTGATATTCTGTGGAGTGTACTTTATACATCGAATGAGTGAGTTGATTATTACGTAGCATCTAGCCAGTCTCCTTGAGCGTTGTTGTAAACAAAGTTCCTCTGGGCACACATTATTTTACACTTCCGTAAGCGTCGAACTTTCTTTTCGCGTATCTACTGGTCACCGCACGAATATATGCAGCATATATGTAGTCCTATCTTATGTCATTAGACTTGCGCAGGTTGAAGAGAACTTTGTTTACTGGGTATGTAAATATCCTCGTCCTGTTCAAATGTCTTACGTACTTGGGAGGCTATCATGCTTTCAAGTCCAACCCCGGTGCAACACCGACGTTGCTTCATTATGTTATTTTCGGCTCTTGACCTCAGTGCAGCCGATAAGCTACTTTACACTGTCAGGCGATATCAGGTGCCGGCGGTCGTTTTGGGCTCTGGTCAATTACCTGACGCGTGATTTTTGCTAGAAAGGCCTCACTTTTAGTGTTATTATTCGTGCCCTAAGATATCTAGGAGAATCCCCGGTTGAACTCTATGATACGTCATGTAAACCTACTATGAAGTCTACAAAAATTAAAGTGATATTATTCCAGGTGATCCGGGTCGGATACGGACCAGCCGTTTAACTTACGGAAAATACGCCAGTAGTGTAAAAAATTTATTCAGCACTTAGTCCTGAATTATCTTAAATTTGTATACATTTTTTCTCATATGGTATTTACGAGCATTCTTATATCATCCCACATTATCGGAATTTATCCTGTCTGATCTTATTTCATTCAACCTTCACTACTATACTTGAACTACTATTAGAAATCGCAGCAGCCATGCAGTTTAATGTGATTATATATAATTGAGAATCATACGCTTAACAACCCATTTTCGACCTTCGTGGGATGTCCGTTCTGGACTCAGAGTGCATTATGGTTTTAATTGGGGCAGTTGAAAGTTCTGATCAACTTATTATGTAACAAGTGGTATCTTCTCGGAGAGCTGTGGAAGGCACACTTTTGAGCAAGAAGTTAGCTATAGTTCTTAAGCGGAGGTTTTCTCCCAAGAATCTGCAAGTTCTTCTGCGACTTGTACAGTTGTTGACGTATATGAATTGCAACTAAATGGACAGTTCATTCAGGTCCAGTGAGGTCGTCATAATTCTGATCATAAGTATTTCCGATCTTCCTGCGCTGGAAGGATATAGCGAACAGCCTGTCACTTAGCTTGCTTTTTTCCCTTCTCATGTAACCTGTATAAGTCTCATAATAACCTGTATAGGTGCTGCCTCGAAGATTACTGAGGAAGGCTCTTGTCCTCCCACATTTCTCCTGTTTCAAAAGATTGTGTGCTTTTTGTCTTGTTAGTCTCTTGTTTGCTAGTTCAGACCCCTCTCTGACAATTGGAATGATATGGATTAGGTCTCTTAGGTTGTTCTCCTACCTCTTCCTGTAGTTTTAGTCGTTCATTGATCTTTCTGCATTTCTTTCAGGTTCCCACGTCCAGGCTACTGTAGAATTTTTCTTACATGTTCTTGTTCAGTTACTCGGAGGCAAAACTGATTGAGCACATTTAATAATACTGACTGACGCTGATAATCCCTCCACAGTTATCATCAGCATGGACATTGGCGAAAGCAGTGTTGACAATGCGAGCGCTGTGGAAGACGGAGGAACAACAGTCGAGATAAAGATTAAAACCCTCGATGCTCAGAGCTACACGCTTCGAGTTGAAAAGAACGTAAGGGATCAAGATCTCGTTGGCATGATGGGCAGAACAAATGATTGGATTCTGTGCAGACTGTAGATCACTCTTGGTGTCGATCTAGAGTTGTCTTTGGCTCTGTGTGGCGTATTCCTTATAATCTGTGGTTACGTGGTTCAAGTTTGGGATTAGCATGTTGACTTCGCACACCATCCTGCTACGCATGTCCTTATATGTCAATTGTTTTAGGATATAAATTGCGTTCTTTTTTATTTATTTCTGTATCGTGTTATCGGTTTATGTGGCAGTTTTCGGTTTTGACAGGCATATACAATTGAGTACAGGTTCATCTCATCGGTTTGACTTACCATTTGACAGGCATATACAATTGAGTACAGGTTCATCTTATCGGTTTGACTTACCATTTATGTGTATATTGCAGGCATCCGTGCCAGCTTTAAAGGATCAAATAGCCTCCGTTGTAGGTGTGCCCGTCGAGAACCAACGACTCATCTGTCGGGGCAAAGTCTTGAAAGATGATCAAGTTCTTTCAGCCTACAGTATCCATGTTTAAACTTTCTAATTTCGCTTTATATATCTGCCTTCAGCTTATGTCCCTGACGTTGCTAGATTCTTGTTCTCTCTATCGGCCTTGGATTGAAGCTTGAGAAACTTTCTCTTCTAGTAGAATAGCCCATAACCCGAATGAGATGTATGTTCAGCCCAGCCTTTGTCTTCACTGTATGGCATGTGTTCTTAATTTGTATCATAGACGTGGAGGATGGCCATACACTACACCTGGTTGCAAGGCAAACACCACCGCCTCCACCAATATCTACAGGTGAGTCAACAATCACCTACAGCACGTCTGGGTTGACCAAATAGAAGGCTTTTGCAAGAAGATTACTGTGAAACCTAGAAGACTGAAGTGAAGTTTTTTTCTGGGTATCTACTGCTTGAAATTGGAGCTGAGGACTTCTTTATAATCAGCCAATCATGTTTCAGTATCGAATGTCATAGGTCAAGAGGCGGGAACTGCCACAACTGGACCTTCCGATATGGTCATCGTCTCTCCACGAAATAGGTCAGGCCATGTGTCACATAGCTTGCTGATGGGAACAATCAACATTCCCGATACTGGAGAGGGTGGCATGCCTGACTTGAACAGGGTATGTTATTTCCTTTTTGTATTGTGCATAACTAATGTTATGATGCACAATTTGTGATCATGAGGAGAAAAGTGGCGTATTGGAAGCGAACTATTCATGACTGTGCAGTGGTCTTGTTTTTGTTCGTGTGGTCCTCACTCAATTCAGTGTCCATAGATTCAATGCATGCGATTTGTTACCTTAGTACAGCGGTCTACTGACACTTCCATTACCGCTGGCTGTTGTCATTGTATTATCTTCCGAGCAGAACCATAATTCATCAGACTCGAAAAGCTTACGATGTATAACAGGTTGCAGCTATATGCGACTGCTGCAGATTTAGTCCTAAAGCTGAATATGATAATTAACGAGGTTTTGTGTATATGAACAGATCATATCAGCTGTCATGAACTCTGTAGGCATCGGAATTCCAGTACCATCTACCGCGACCCCAGGAACTGGAGGTACAGTGACAGTTGTAAGTGCTCGCAAACTTTTGAGGCTTTGGAAAACTGTGTAGGTTATATTCTCTGACCGTATTTGAACTCAAAGTGGGATCTTTTTACGGTTAGCTTTTCCTCATTCTTGTGTTTATACTGACCTAATTCATTTCCCATTCTGCTCTACCGAAATAAATAATTGTTCACTCAAACCGGGGAGATGTAGGACTTAAATGGTTTAGCGTCAGGTTGACAGGGAAGGGAAATTTGGGTATACTCCGAGGTTCGACTTCATTGGTTTCCGGATTTCAATGGGCCTATCAATTGATACTTATCTTCTGCCATGTTTTGCCTTACAATTTGAGAAGATGTTACGAGCCAAGATAGTCCACAACTCCCGAGAAGCTACATTTCGTGACAACATCGGAGATGTTGTGCAACTACTAAACGCGACGAGCACATACCTTGAAGAGCAGACTTGCCCGTTAAGCCAATAGAGAACAAATTTGACCTTCAGAACATAACCTCAATTGCGACTTACATGGAAATATTCTCATCGTTGAAAGGTTATTTCGTAAGAGTATTCAAGTCTGCGAGAATCGAATGAATGTCAGTTTGACATCGATATGAGTTCGATGCAAAACCTACGTCAGTGGTCGCTCTTTCAAACTAAATTATGGTCAAGGTATAAGGCCTGTCTGTATTACTGGAGTTTGTAGAGTCATAGATCTCGCCAGACAAGGTTGTAACTCCTGGAGTTGAAACATGACCACGATGGTATTCATCCGTATCTAGCGCCAGAGAAAGTTGGCTTGGAATGAGTTCAATAATTCAGACATCAGCGCAAATTAGCGTCTCTGTTTTCAAATCAACGAGCCAAGATTGCAGAGAAGGCCACTCACTTTTTACCCTCTTTTAGAAACTTCGCTCGAAGTTTGTGACGAAAGAGAACAGCTTAAGAGCTTTGTGAAAGATATATAGACAGGAGTCAAATGGGTAAACGCCTCGGTTCGTTTGTGTTCAAGCCGCTGGCTCTTTGTACTGAAAGCCACGTCTCTAATTTTCCCGTTTGTCTTTGGGTATCGTTCTGCGTTGCTTCTTGTTGGTCAACAAGGATCTTCGTGAATAGTATACTTTTGAAGAGTTTGAGTGAGTGAGAACATCAACCTGTATAATCCAGGTGAAAACTTTAATATGTGCAAAGAAACTTTAGGCAGAGGATTCGCCTGACATGTGGTGAAAAGAGACGGAAATTTGAAACTCCACACAATCTGTTCCTAAGACTTGGTCGCTGACTCCGACCCGCAAGCTCGTTTAAAAGACCAGGAGACCTCCTTTTACCTAGATATTTACCGCTGTCGACCTCGTCACTGATGAGTTTGAAGTAGTCCCTTCACCATATGGCGGACCAAGTCACAGGCCGAGCATCATCCTGCTGCCTTAGTCGCACTTGCGAGATTCCCCTACAGCACCACACCGTGTGAAGGTGAAGTCTCGGACTGTAATGGAGCCAATGTGAGTGCTAAAGACGATGTTTCCTTGCCAGGGTGTGCTGCCCACAACACCACCACCTGCAACTGGGTCCGATGGGCAACCAAGACCAGGGGGTACTGATGCTCGAGCACAAATAGGACCTCCTCCTGGTTTTGAGAATGGCATACCCCGGGAGTTAGAAGCAACACTACATATTGATGCGTTGTATGGATCATCACCCTCGGGAATTTTTAATGGGAGTGGTCCCAACGCCCCTTCACCTTTCCGCATCATTCAGCAACCTGTGGTGTGTTTTCTATGCTAAGCTGATTATTAGAGTTGCTTCACCTTTCAAGAATCTAGTGTACTTGGTGGCAAGTGTTAATTGATTGTTTCTGCTATTGAGCTAATGATGGTAGGAACAAATATTGCTGTAAGGCATTTATCATGCCATTTGCTTCATGATAAACTTTTCGTCTCTGTGAGTTTTATTCGATATATATATGTATATATATATCACTTTTCTTTTCTTTCAGGTAGTTCCTGACGCTTTGACAACCATGTCCCAGTATCTGGACCGATTGGAGCAATCTTTTTCTCTTACTGGTGAGGCAAAGTATCTAAGCTGATTTTCATCTTAAAATATGTGTTCTTGTTTTCTCTGTTTGCTCCTGTACGTTATATGTTTTCGAAAAGAACTGCGTTATCATGAGTTGAAGATCTCTACTTTGGGAAAGATGAGTTATTGTCGGCCACGCTAGTATATGTGTAATCGAATCATATGATTGCCTTGGTGTACCTTTTTAGAAGGTGGAACAGGCCAGAACGTTGAGGGCACGTCCGTGAATGAAGGTGCAAGTCATCCTCAGAGTTTGTCGGGACAACCATCGGGCTCTCAAACCCTGGAAGCAGGTCCACCTAGTGCCCTGAATGGGTTTTTAGAAGGTATTCCAATCCCTTCGTCGTTGCCTGCCTCCAGCAATGAACGATCAGATACAGATACGGGAGTGTCCGGTGGAGCAACTGCTCCTGCCAGGCGCTCACCCACCCCACAAGCGCTTGGAGCTATCGTTCAACGTGTTCAAAATCTTCTTAGTGGCCTCGCTGGGTCTGCCCTTGCAGTAAGTGTTTTCCCAGTCAACAGTCGAGTAAGATTTGGAAGGTTTGTAGTATTATTTTTGTCTTTACTTCAGTCAAAATGTTTGAAGTTCCTAGTACATGTTTGTGAAGAAGTGTCGTCTTGATGATGATGGTTTCATATGTTTTAGGTAGGACAAACCTATCTGGCACCTTATTGATTCACTTCCTAGTGTCTGTGCGTCTCCATGGATAAGTCGTAGTCCCAACCCTGACTTTTGGCCGCAAATGGCAGCGCCTAGCAACACAGCTGGAAACCGAGCCAAGTTTGCTTGATCCGGCAGCACGAGCCGATGTCCAGTCTACAGCTGTGCGGGACGGTCACATGATGCAGAATCTTGGCGCCCTGCTCCTGGAATTGGGGCGAACAACTTTGACACTCCGCATGGGTCAATCCCCTGTAAGTCTGAACTTTATATTCAAAGTCCAACCTTCACTCCCTGACAAGGACTCTCTAGGGCTACTGAAGGTGATAACGCATCACTATTTACGAAAAGCAGCTCAATGGATTAAAGGTATATGCAGTTTTTTAATGGATCTTTGTGTATCGTCTTGTGACATTTAGGCTGAATCTGTGGTCAATGCTGGACCTGCAGTTTTCATCTCCCCATCTGGTCCGAATCCCATGATGGTCCAGGTACGAGCTATATCTTTAAGATATTTTACTTGTATTGGTTGTCTTACTTCTGGGCTGGGCTAGCTGTCTGCTTATTGATCTCTGGCAAGGGGAGTGCTTACTTAGGGTCTCGTACTGCAGTCCGTACCCTTGCAGACAGGTGTGGCGTTGGGTGCATTGCCTGTTGGAACGTCTCAACCAAGTGGTGGTATTGTGGGTCCCACTTTAGGACCGAGAAGTATTAATATACATATCCACACCAGTGACTTAAGGCTTCCTTCTGGTGCTCCCTCTCCTTCTCCCTCCCCTTCCTCCCCTCAGCGTCCACCTCCTCGAGCAGTTGCTGGTGTGACTCCTGGAGCGCCAGGCAGCAATGTACGACAAGTTATGGAGCGGGCGGAAGCTGGCACTGCAGAGCATGGACTTACAGTTCGACAGATAATTGAACGCGCAGAAGCGGTGAGCGCTGCACAACAAGCCAATGCAGAGATGAATAATCAAGCCGCATCGGTAGGTCCCGTTCAGGGTGCCATCATGACTTTTAACGAAAATGGGGCCATGAGGGTGGTTCCTGTGAGATCACGACCTGCAGCAGGTGCACATATAAATGTTACAGCTGGTAACCCGGCAAACGATGCTAGCGCTACCGCGCTGCTTGCAAGATTTCAGCAACAGCTTGAATCTCTACAGCAAAGGCCAGGACCTCAATCAGCAAGTGCTGATGCTTCCTCAGTGGGAACTCATTCTTCTAATCAAGAACCCACCGTGAGCTTACCTCCTACATCTTTGCAACCGATCAGGGCCCAAGTACATGTTCAATCATGGCCTCCTACTTTCATTCAAGGCCTGGAAGCAGGTTTTCCACAACCTGTCCTCTTCTCCCCTGCAACTGGCGAGGTACTTGTTCAAACGCAGAATCAAGGAGCTCAGCCTTCCACTGCAGGCGCCCACACAGGTACACTTCTGCTTTTTATTGTAAGTGCCTGCAACATTTTACTAATTTTCTTTTGATTTGGGCAACGCTAATGCGTCACCAAAGTCAAGGTAAAGACAAGATGAATAACCTTCTCTCTGTACCTACGTACCTGTGGTGTGGTTATGAATGGAGCAAGCTCCCGTTTAGCTTATCACCATCTATCTGTCGAGTATTTGTCCCAGGCTTTTCTATCCTTGAGAAGCTTCTTTAACCTTAATTCACATTTTAGTGGATAGCAGTAATTGTTGAATCTTAAGATTTTCTTTGCATGCATTTTGGTAGTCGTTTCTACTGTGTGCGTACATGACATGGATCCGTGGAATCACTGGCTGTTATGCTCTCGGAAAGAGGATGTTCTGAATAATATCACAGCATCATGTTGTGAAATGATGAGCATCTACAATCGTAGGGTGAGACACCTTGTTGGATGATAACTTGCGTAAGTTGTCTCTGCACCTAAGATATGAACTTTGTAGTCTATCAAGAATACCTTACCTAGTGTATTCCCATTTTTGTAGCTAAATCATTTGACATGTGCAGGCTTAAACAGCGATAGACTCGTAACATCACAAGATCTGTCTGGATCAGAGCCCGTGACCGCGACTTCTAGCGAACATGTGGACAACCAGAGAGAGATGGATGTGGAAATGAGGAGAGTTATCGACTCTATGGCCCGCGGTCAACAACATGGGCATGAGATAGCTGATTCTCTAGGACCTCTTTTTAACCAGCTAGTTGCCGCCTTTCAGCATTCTCGGTCACCAGATGATGTACTTCAACCTGAACAGGTACCAACAGGATTTGAATTGAATTGAGTGATGTAATGGACAAAAATTTAAACAGATGCAGTCTGGTTGACTTTTTTACCTATGTTTGACAGGTTATCGGACAGACTTCAGTGGCTCAGGCAAACGTAGGACCTGAGGTTAGTTCCAGAGGTCCGACAACATCTGCTGAAGGATCACAACCTAGGAACTTGCTATCTATCGAAAGAGGAGTTGAGGTTCTGCCTTCAGCCCATATCGAACATCCTGAGTCATTAGCAGATCTACATACAGTTGCCAAGATGGATGTTTTAAGTGGCAGCGACATTGCGTCAGGTTCGCGGGGCTTGAATAGTGTAGATACGAACCAGGACTTCAAGTTGCTCGAGGGAAGTGTGGAGGACACTGAAGAAAGGCCCCCTGAGGTGAGGAACGATCAATCACAAGGAACTGAAGAAAAGTCGGGAAATCCTCCTCTTGGTCTAGGCCTTGGAGGTTTACAACCACTTCCTGCCAGGGTAAGTTATTCCTGTATTTGGCTGTACACTTGTCTGTAAAACTATTGCGAAAAATAAGTCAAGTCCTAAGTGCAGTAAGATGATGTTAGATGCAAATGCTGAGATGTCCAAAGCCATGCATTGTAAAAGTTCATATTACGTGCATGTACTGTATGGTTGAAGACAAGTCTGAATTACGTTGAAGAAGAAGAAGGAAAAAAGGTAACCCAACATCTTGTACCTTGCAGGCTCGAAGGCGAGGTCAGCGACAATCGCAGTCTGCAAATGCGGGCCCAGCAGCTGTTGTAGGTAGTGGGCTGTCTGCTCCCAGAGGTAATGAGCAGACATTAGCTCCTTCTGCAGCTCAAAATTTCCTCCAAAGACTAGTGTCACGCGTGGATAGACCTACTGAAACGTCTGATGGAAACGCTATGCAACAGTCCGTAGGGCAATTGACACAAGGCCTATTTCCTTTGCTGGGCAGTCTTGGTAATATGGGAACCTCTCAAAATGGAGAAGGTAGTAATCTTGGAGATTTAATGGGGCAGTTGATGTCGAGGACAGATGAAGGTAACGCTGGGCAGGCACCACTATCTTCTAGTATGCTGAGGGGCATGATGGGTCAAATCGTCCAGAGTCCGTTCATGGAAAATCTCGTGCAGCAAGTCATGACTCGTAGTGAGGAGACGCAGAGTTCGGAACAGGGATTCTCTGGGCTTAGTGGCGATGGAGGCTTTGATTTTGCTGGTGTCATGCAGCAGATGCAGCAGATGTTACCTGTCGTCACACAAATGATTGGTAGTAGACAAACGCCCAGCTCAGGTCAAGAGGTCCCAAACGCTCTTAATGCCATGCTTCACAATGAGGAAGTTGCAGCCAGAGGAAGCCCAGGCCAGAACAATGACACCGGGAGGTGGAGAGAGGCGCTTAGTGAGGTTTGTAAGCTGAATTTAGAGATATGTGTTACTGATCAATACTGTAGTGAACAATTATATCCCGCTTTTTAACTACAGGCCTGCCCGAAGTAGATGTGATGTGAAGCTGAAGGGCGACACTGGATCTCGTGTGGTTTTTGCGTGTTAGTGAGCAGTCGCAGCTGTCCGAGTTGAATATTGCTGATTTTAATCCATTATTTTTTAGTTATCTAGAAGAGTAAATGGAAAGCCTTCAGACCCGAAGTTTCGTTGATGAAATCACATTTGATCCGGCGTTGCGAGTATCTTAAGATAAGCGTTCTGTACACTCCCGTTTAGATCTGCTGGTTGTCAATTTTTAAGTAGGTGATTGGGTACCTGCAGGAGGAGGCAGCCCAGTGGAGTGAAACCATAACTGCCGATGTAGAGCAGCAGCAGTCTGCTGCTCCACAAAGACCTTTTAGTGATGTCTATTCGCGGGGTTCACCGGTGGCGAAACGACAAAAGGTTCGACTCTTTTTAAATTATTATTTCTTTTGTTTTATCACCTATCGTATGAAGAAGCCTCAGGGGAAGAGCAGAATTGATAAAATCTGCTTGTGTATGTGAGGACATGAAAAGGCTATGTTTTGCCATTTCAATATAAGAGAATTTAAAGCATGTGGTGCAGTCCTTCTTTTGAGTTGTCCATTCATCATCTCTAGGTGGACGCATATGTCTTCAGGCAGAAGATTAAATTATATGGATGAGTTCCATTCTACAAGCGTGTTTTTTCTCTTTTTCTCTAACTATCGAGGCAGACGAGTAGAAACACCTACTGGCCAATAAAAAGTTGCAGCTTCGATGTTTACGAGTTGAAAAGACAGCCCTTTAATTTACTTTTGAGAGCTTCTTTCCAATTTCGGAGCGATTGTGGGCTCTAGGAAGCAGGTTCTAGCCACGATTGCATCTAAGTGGAAACCTGGATGGTGGTTTTTGTACATCTTAAGCAGACAGATTTGGAGGGGACAGCCCAAAAGCTCGAAAATGGTGGCGCACCTGAAGATGTCCTTCGGAGTGTTGCAGAGGATGTCGCAGAGCAGTTCGTGAGAACAAATGGAACGGTTCATGGAGAAGCTTCTCAACTGGCCCAACATGTCGTTGAAACGGAAGGGCTTGCCGAGGTGAGTTTCCTGTGTAGACCAGGTTTGTTCCAACTCTGATTCCTTCAAATTGACCGTTCTTTCGGTGAGGATTAAAAATTTTAATCTTAATCTACTTATACTTTGTAAGGGTCTACATAGCAACGCGAGTTTGCGTGTGAGGAGTGATAGTTATGTACTTCTTTGTATGGGTATGGTGATGGATGGATGCATCCTGCGTCTGGCAGGCATACATGGCTGTGCTGTTCCATGACCTTGCTGCACGGGTGGCAGCAGACCCCGATTTTGGCGATGGTACCCGATTCCCGAATGCAACCCGAGTCTTCCAACAGTCGAAGGCGACCAAGGAGCCAGATGGAGGGTGATAGTGATTGGTTGCGACTCTCATGAATACCAGCTCGACAATATCTGAGGTCGGGTACGAAATTTAAACCATGAGGAGAGTAGCTGAGGAGGTCTTATGATCATCCTTTAGGTTTTAATCACTATTTTCGTCATCAGATTTTCTTGTAACATGATGTTAAACATTTGGTTATTCACTAGGAACAGATCCTTCGCTGTGGGGAGATGTACAGAGGAGAAAAATTAGTCAGGGTATATTTCTCTGTCCCATGTTCTACGCAAAAGCCCCTTTGCTGCATTAGGGACACAAAGAGGTCTTCTTATCATGCCCTTGGATAGGTCAGATCCAGAACTACGAGCTAGTCATTATGCGGATTGCCGCTAGATGGCTTACGGCGTGCATTGTCAATTTTTTCTCGAGTAGTTTTGAAGCACAAACCGGCACAATCATCAGTTTGTGCTTTGCTTCGCAATGTGTAGATTCTAAAGCTCTTCCCACGTTGTGGCCCGTAGTGCCTTTGTCTTACTTCATAATTCAGAATTAAGATTGTGGTAATTTGGTGATTCTCTGTTATAAAGGTCTGTCATGGATTCATTGCTGTTTCAATTCTGGGCAATAAAGATGTCGATGCAACCGAGTTTGTGCACTAGGTGTTATCTGGTTCTAGTAGTGGACTTCCTCATTTGATTCCATGATGAAGTTCAAATTTTAAATCTTAAATCTTAACTTCATTTATACGCTGCTCATTATACAAAACGAACCAAATCTCTCGTACGAGTAACATCCGGACTGAATTTTTGATTGCGGTCATTTCTTTGAGTTTCACGCGAACTTAAGTACTTGATCTGGGAATGGAACTTAGTTTCTTATTTAGGAGAGAAGTGACAAGAGTTTGTAATAACAAAATACCTGTTTAGTAGTATGCGTTGTGCGGGCTCCAAAAGTCTAGCCGTTGGAAGGTCGATGTTATCTGATTATTTTGCCTTGTTAGTTTAGCATCATGTCTCCGAGTTTACTTATCAAACCAAGGCCCTCTTTACCCGTGTATACTACTATATTAATACAGTGTACCCCGAATTCTCCTGATCTGTAAACCCATATATTCGTTGGTCTTCTTCGCACTTTCTTAATTCCTGCAATATTATTTTGGGAAAAATTTGGTCATAGTTGGATCCCTGATATACCCTTCATGCGAGTTACTCTGGACCAGTTATTTTGTACTTCATCGACTCAAAAACTTCCTCACTGCTTTTACCTCCTTACGTAACAGGCTTACTTAGAAGAGCATGAAAGGGCCGCGCTCCGTGTTGTTCCAAGTTGTTCTTAACTACGCCGTAACAATACTTTCTCATCTACACTAGGTATTGATTATTATGAAGCATGGTTTTGGTTTATCCCAACCGAGTGGAAGGAGATGATATTAAACTAAGGTCTTTGACAATCTGTTATACAGATAATTCTCACTTCATTACTGGAGAACCGGTCGTTGGTACTTTGGAAGCTGGGTAGAAAATCATTTTATTACATTGTCTCTCAATTGACGGGAATCTACTCTGGCCCTGGTTTATTTTTCAACAGAGCGTTTGGTCTGGAAACTCTCGACCTGAGAAATGAAATTTCTCCAGTATAATCAATTTGCGCACCTGGACTGGAAACACTTGTGTGATGTATTCTATGGTGAATTATGGCAGATACTGCTGTATTCGATTAATGAATGATATCAGTTCACAGAGAAAATTCAAATTTCTTTTACTGAATAGACGAAGATTCCTCAAGTAGAGATATGACTGCACTTGGAGTTAGAAGGGTTGAATGGGTGGATTTTACTCCGAATTTGTTCAGAGTAGAATCATGTAAGGCGCCAAAAGACAGTATTTGAATTGCACGTCGGATCTGTTGAAAAGTGGATGTAAAAATATAGGAAAGAGTTTCCTTGCCGTGTGAGTGCAACACAGCGTAAGGGTTCGTAACAAGAGAATTTAATGTTCGAAAAGTCACAGAAATGATATGTTTAACTTCTCTCTTAGAAGTTGTTTCAGAGTTCAAAGTGAAATACAATTAACATTACCGGGTTAGTCGAGATGCATATAATGTATCGAAGAAATTACAGTGGGGCCAAGTAAAGGATGTGAAGGTCTCACAAAAAGCTACAAGAATGAAAGCAGAGGATAATCAGCCGCTAGACCTCAATGGTGTCAAAATAGGAAATATATCTTGGACACTCCACTTGAAGTCATGGACCACCGCCGAAAGTAAGGTGAGACCAAGTAAACAGCAAATACTGAAAAAACTTACAAATATGAAAGCAGAGGATAACTACTCAGTGCAAACAACTTGAGAATCCAAAAAATAATCATCTAGTGTGATTTTCATATTATGTAATACATAGTATGTATATCACTAGCCATCAATATTTTAAAAAAAATATCTAATTACTAGTAAAATTTTGTAGAGCGTTAAGTAATGAATAATCGATTTATAGACTGGACTGTAGATAATGGACTTGTAGTTTTTTAAACTGATTATTGTGCACTTGATAAGTAACTCATCAATAAAAAAATTTAATATAAATCTTTTCTGATATAAGAATGTTGAAAATAACAGTACATGAGTTTTCAAGATGAAAATTCAGCGTTTTCTGAAAGATAGTCAATTAATATAAGATGAATACTTTGCTTAAGAATGATTTTTTCAAAGCAGGGTAAAAATAATAACACAACACACAAACTGACAATAAGATATTTTGAGATACGTTTTTTTTTAACATGTTTCATTTTTTCTTGTTTGGTAGGTTCAAAATGATCAAACTCAAATGTTGATCAATCCTATTCTTGATGTTTGAAGCTTGAATTCAAGTTCATACTCAAATCACAACATAAATATAGTTATTCGAATATATTTTTGTTGACTCTTTGTGCTTACAGAAACGTGATTCAAATTACAATCCGTACTAATTTTTAAACCTTGCATAATGCTTTGATCTGTCATGTCCTAGTATCTTCACTCCAACGCATGTCGACAGGTATTAGTTACGTACGTCAGGTTTTACTACTTCCAAGGAGTGTTTTCAGGTCGTCCAACTAATACAAATGGCACTAATTCGAGAGTAGTGTGATCATTTTGTACCGTTCTTGTAGCCTCGTTTTGGGTCTTGTATAAGATGCACCTTATCTTTCAACCCAACACTCTCCAGGAGCTTCAATTGCATGTGCAATGTTTGGTTACAAATGCTATCACCTATGATGTTTTAATTAGACCATAAGCATTGTTTCCACCTGGTTTTACCATTGATGATTGACATGAGCATGCTTACTACCAAGTTGATTGAGAGACAAATGGTCTGAATCTAGGTCACATACCTCTGGATCTACATGCAAATCATGCTCCACCCGCACACCATTGCTTATTGAAGAAATCCATACTCTTTCTTATATTCCTAGCTAATCACATGGATGTATGGAAGACAATGAGAAGGAGATTGTTGTTGCCCAAGCAGCTGCAAGCTTGGTGTTTGGCCGCTTGGAGTTTGTGCATGGACAAGAAATTTTGCCCAGGCTCAAGGCGGCCCATGTGACCTTGGTTACAGCCATGCACAAATTTAGAAAACTGAAAATCAACAAGGAGCCAATTCAATCATTAATGATCAAGATGATGACTTGGACTCCACCCAACAATGAAGTCACACTCTTGGAGCTGTTTGACGGAATCTCTGTAGGTTTTGAGTAACTCTTGCAATTAGGCATAGTGGTAAGGCACTATATTTACGTGGATGTTGACCCTTGTGCACGTAAGGTGTCAGCATCGCGCATGAGGAAGCTTAGCACTAGGTTTACTTAACATTTCCCAACCACTGCATGAAAGGCAAGCTTCACTTTCTTTTACTCTGATATTCAGCTCATCCAACAACAACATCTTGACCTACTCGATTTCCTGGATTTGATCATTGGAGGTTATGAGTGTCAAGGTTTCTCAGCAGTTGATTTTGGAGCCTGGTTGGCTGATCACAAGTCTAGACTTTCATGGATTTGATTCGGATCATTACTTGGGCCCAATCGCTGTTCCCAACAATTGCAAACATCCCAGCTCAATATGATCAGAGAGAAAAGGTCAAGGAGTATAGCACTTTGATCCAACATCACCTTGGAAACTCGTTGTTGGTGGATGGAGTGCAGTTTGGTTCTTACGTTCATCGGCTGCAAAATTTTTGGACCAACTTGACACCCGTTTTTCTCTTGGAGTTAGCTCTAAGAAACACGACTCGAGACTCTACACTTCTGATCTCTCAAATATTGGATGCAGATAGCTCATGCCAACTAGTTACCAAGCAAGAAAAAGCACATTGATTTTTAACCAGCATCATGAGTAACCCAAAAGGTGCTTGGCCCACATTTGTCTCCTTTCTAGTTGTCCATGCTTTTCAGGGTAATGGACCATGACTTGTGTATCGTCAGACTACATGTAGATGGAATGAATCAAGCCTCTGAGGAGAGAGAAAGGATCATGAAATTTCATCCAAGTACTAGGGCTACACAAAGGTGATCAGATTGGAGCGCAATTCACTCTTAGGTAAAGTGATGGATCTAAACACCCCCACTTGGTAGCTGGTCAAGTGCATTTTTTATCATATGTATCTTGCACCTAGCGTGGATGGAACTAAGGTGGAAGCACACGATGCTTCCCAGTGGCATCTCAAACAGATCCATCTGCCAATATTTGCACTTCACGCCAAGTGTTGGAGGAGGATATACCATGCAATTTAACAAAAGTTGATTTTGATCTAGGTGAATCTACACTTAAGTTTTCACAGATTGATCAAAGCAGTATTCATTTCAGATCAAGTCATGTAGACATATCGGCACCTACAACCAGCTACATGAATTATCTAGGAGATCATCAGTAAGTCAACAATTGGAGCTGTGTAGAAGTCAGAACATCAGGAATATCAAACTTAAATACTAACTCGATCTCATGTGTACCTAACTACCCTTTCATCACAAGCAATCAGTTGAGCAAGATACAAAGGAAGTGGTTTTGAATTTACTACTTAAGTATGATGATGTGTTTTCTTTCTTCATAAAGGACCGAGGTAAGTGCAAGGTAATGCAATTCTCCATTTATCTGGTTGATGAAAAACCAATTTACAAGAGAAAACATCGGCTGAGTAAACATGAACGGTAGCTGGTGAATGAGAGGTGCAAGGAGCTTCATGACGTAAGGCCTCTCCAACCCTCTAACTTTGATTTTGCTGCCGCTACAATCTTGCTAGCAAAGAAAGATAGCAACGGTTTGTGGACCAAGAAGAGGATGTGTGAAGACTATGGATTTCCAAACATCGTTTCCCCTAAGATAGGTCGCCTATGAAGGAGGTTTTTTATAGCATTGGAGATTTAGACATCTTCATTATCGTGCTTTTGAGGCAAGGTTTCAACCGAATTGTATTTACCATCCAATATTGCAAGAAGACAACATTTCATGGAAGCAATAGGCTATGGAAATGGCTTGTGATGCCCTTTGGATTGAAGAGTGCACCTATTTTTTTCCAAATAATCATGACCCATGCTTTAGAAGATGCAAATTTCTTGAAATGCTACATTGATGACGTTTTAGTTAACAAAAGTGATTTGAACATCAATTAGCTCACTTTGAAGAGTTGTTCAAACGGCTCATGCAAGTTGATCTAAAGATACATGTCAAGAAGTGTGAATTTGCTGCTACATTTTATTATTGCTATATATTTTATTTCATCTTGTTTTGGTTAAGCTTTAAAACTAAACTTTTTTTGTTTACAAAGAATTTTTTTAATTTATTATAAATTGCAATAAATTATTTGAAAGTATGTTGCTAGATACTTATTTTAAGTAAATATAATTTAATTACTATATTCTTCTATGGTTAATTTATTGTAACATACATAATTTTGTACTTACTTTCTGACAAAATTTAAGTATTTTTGAGCAAAACTTTTGTGAATTTGTAAAATAAATTTCACACATGTTAATCATGTATTTATGCATCAACTATTTTGCATTGATGTAGTTGTATGTATATTGAGTATTGCTTGACAAATGACAATAGATTGATTAATCTATCAAGATGTTGGAAAAAAAGCCAGGATGGCTGTGACACACATTGTGATGAATAACATAGAAGCAGTAGTTCAAGTAGTGTTCCGAATCAGAATATCAAAGAGGAGGAAGAAGCAAAGATTCTGATTGTGACGTGTTCAATGTAAGGTTTGCGTATATCTTTTCCAATAGCTTTACTGTATAAAACTACATTTCAGTGGGATTCCTTCTCCAAATCTGGAAAGTCAAAATTATACTAACGACACTAAATTAGGCTATTGGTATACTTTCTAAACGTATGAATCTCTCATATGCAGTTTTTGTATGATTGTATTCACTAACATGAACTCATATCCTACTAACAAACAACTTGTTAATGGATATTTTCTTCTAATTTTATACAATCAATTGATTAACAAATTTCAATTATTTTAAAATATAACTGTATGTATTGATAAACTATATGTATTGTATTATTTAATTTTATTTGATAAGTTCAATTTTTTATGCATTTAATATGAAATAGTCTTATGTTTCCAAATCTAAGTAAAATTCAAAGTGTTTTATTTGAATTTTATTTTGGAATTGTAGATTAAATATTAAGATAATACATTAATACGATAATATTATATTGATAAATAAATTTTTTAACATTTATAATCTTAAAAATGATTCGTGTTTATTTTTATTTTAAAATCTAAATATACAATTAAAATATATTAAAATATTATGATATAATAAAATGTATCTCAATTATAAATCAACAATTTGTATAATGATATATACATTAGTTAGGTTTAACAAATGCACACATTAAATTTTCAAAATATGATTTGAAAGGTTAAATTGATTTTATACAATATTTTTTATGTACAAATTGCTCTTGTGATGGATCAAGAAAAACAATAGCAAAAATTAGTTGAATGAACTATATATTAAAGATTCAAAAACTTAGAGCTCAAAGTTTTGATAGATTACTTAAATTTTACGCATTTCATAAATCTTGTATGTGAAATGTGTAATTTTTTTATTTGCAAAGTTTTATCAAAATATGTATTGAACATCAAAAAAATTATCAAGTTTGTTTGATGAAGTTGCAAATTTTATAAACAAAAATTAGTTTGAAACATTTTGTTTGAAATAGATTAGTTTTAGAATAGTGATTTTCAAACATGATGATGTCAAAATAATATTTTCATAATATCTTCTCATTAAAGCACAATCAAGAGAATCTCCTCAACATTGCAACAAACTATAGTTTGTACTAAGTGAAATAATTTACATACAAGGCAACAACAACTTTCATATGTACTTGATTTGAGATACTATTCTACAAAATGTTGTTTAATGATATCGCAATGATTTTCAGCAAATACTTTGCAATATGAACCATAAAAGTATGTGTTCAAGACGAAATACAAAAATAAGTGATTATTTTAAACATTTCTATGCAACTAGATTAAATCAATTTCATGTATAAATTAAGTAGACGAAGGTAAAACTCAATGACATAATGATAATTACGAAGATTTGTTTCATTTGCATGCATTGATTTCTTAGATATTTCAGCATGAAATAGGTTGTGTTGATTCAAAGAACATATTTGATCCAATAGTTTAATTATCCATCATATAATCTCTAGCAAATACTTGGTTCCATTATTTTTTTTAAATGGATTGTTCCATTTACTTAGTACATTGATCATCACTTTGACATGATTGTGTGAAATGAATTATCAATTTGAACTTGTATAACTTTCACAGCATAAGATTGGATTGATTAATTACTTAATGATTATTAGATGCAAAGCATTGACTTTTCTGACATGTGTTTGAACAGATGATTTACATGGACATTGAAGTAGATATAGGAATGATTATCATAAAAACGTAATAAAATGAGGTTGTCGATTAAGAAACAGTTAGATTATCATTTTTCGTGACATTGTCTTGATGCTCCCTAATCCAATCTAATTCTAAAAATTTCAGTTCATAATATGATAATGGGAAGCTTTCAAGAAGTTGAATCATGTTTGGTGATTACATTTCATGTTGCAACTTACTTTATCTTAGTCTACCACTAAGTACATTGATACTTGGTGGCAAACTAGTCCTTGTTTTCCTCTTATAGGCATTCGCTGGGGCTATTCCCGTCAACTTTGTTATTTTGCAGTATTTTTGTGCATAGACTAGATTGAGATTACATCATCATAGATATTAAGGTGATGATGTGTAAATGAGGATGCGAAATTGCGCGGAGGTTTCACTTTACTGAAGAAATGGTGAATCGCGCTCCGCGCAAAGGAGTACTAGTGGAGACAGCACATAAAAGTAAGAAGCAGCTCTAAAAGGTGGATGGAATCCGATGGATTGTATAGTTTTGAAGGCCATGATAGCGACGATAATTGTAGGCAGCACACGTGAATTGAGGACTGGATTGTAGAAAACGATGCAACGGCAAACAGAATACACCTGTACGTCCAAAACGGTCACATTTCTCGCTGAAATGGAGGCCCGGCATACTTTGCCGGCCAACGATCCTGAACCCTAAGGCTCCCAACTCATGTCAAACCTATGGTCAAAGCCGAACCCATAACAGAAACCACGCAGAAGACATTCAAACGCCCATAGCCGAGGCCAGTAGGATGGTTACCATGGCTCCTGGGCTGAGCGGAGAATATTCTCTTACAGTGAAAAGGTTCTCGGAAGGATGCTGATAGAAGATACGGTAGGACTGTCCGTGTCCCACCATCATGTACTGGAATGGATGGACGGATGTATGGATGCACTGTGAACAGAGGACAGCAGCTTGCGAAGGCGCGGACTTGCGGAGATGGTCCTCATGCGGCAGCCGTAGTAGTCGGTCGGGCTTTCTCTCCTAGGGCTTTCTCTCGTTAGACTGCTTTGCCTTCTTTTCTAGCTCTGCGTATGAGTGAGTTGAGCCGTGTGGAGTTTTAGAGGATTGCAGTAGTCGCTTCGCTTCGACCCTTCTCCTCGTCCGGTGTCGCACATGTAGAGTTCAGTTTCTTTTCTTGCATCGATCTATGACCAATTACTGGACTGCAATACCCTCGACCTGAGCTTGACTGGTAATCGTTGAAGACTTTTGGACGCGGGACCCGAAGCTCGCACGACATTTTTTCGTTTATTCCGAAAGTCGTCATAGGTATGTTCTGACATTGACACTCAAGTTTGGTGTCTCCTGCCGCATTTGTGGTTTTATGTGCATTTGGGATGCCTTCGCTGGCGGTTGTTTTCGAATAGGGTGACTCGGTTTTCTGCGGGGTGGTTGTTTAGGTTGCGAATGTGAGGGCATGTGTCGCAGGCAAGGTTTAGGGTTTTGTATAATAAATTTGAGGAGTTATTAATCGCCTGAATGTGTGAGGGCCCGAGTGTCGTAGAACTTTCAAGAGTTTCGACTAGTTCTGTCAATAGGTCGGTCTTTTTCCGTTGGCTGTTAGCTCGTCGTTCGCTTTTATTCGCTGTCACAGTGGTGATGCGGTTTTCCATCTGATGGTGAACAGGTCAATTAGACTTCATTGATGATTGTGATTCAGGTTCAAATTAGTTTCCTTGCTTGTTGGTGTAGGTTTTGATCAATTACATGCCGTGATCAATTGCTTGACGACATTTTTAGCACACTCAAAGCATTTCGTGCTATGAGGGTTCCTACACACAGAAGGTGCTGAACAGTTTTGTTGTCAGTCGTATTTGTCTGCGAGAGTTGACTCTTTGGTATCCCGCTTGTTCGTGCTTGAAGGGCTGTTAAAAGGCCGCGCGCCAATGGATTTTGACGAGTATGATTACTTAGAGAAAACGGTGGAGAACCCCGAGGGACTGAAAGAGTCCAACGGGGATGGAACCAGAGCGGACGATGAGAGAGACCGCAGTAGGAGTTCTAAGAGGCGTAGTGAGGATGATGGACATGGTCACGACCATAGAAGCAAGAGGACCCGTGCCGAAGAGGAGGAACGTGAGAGGAGCGAGAAGGAGCGTGGAGGGGACCGAGACAGAGGGGACAGAGATCGAGGTGACAGGGATAGAACCCGCAGTAGGGTGTCGGTACACAGATCACCTGAACATCGGCCTCGAGATCGGGAAAGGGGAGCGGAGAAAGAGCGCGAGAGGGGTGAAAGAGGTGAGAAAGAGAAGTCTGACCGCGATCGCGACAGAGGAGGGAGAGGTGAAAGACGGGAGAAAGATAGGGACAGGGAAGATAGAGGCGATAAGGACCGCGAGAGAGAGCGGAGCGAGAGGAGCGACAAGGAGAAAGAAAGAGGCGAGAAAGAACGCGACAGGGAGCGCGTGCGTGACAAAGACAGAGACGGTGAGAAGGACAGGGACAGAGAACGCGAAAGGTCACGAGCCAAGAGCAAGGAGGTTGATCGCCATCGCGATAAGGAAAAAGATCGGGAACGGGAGAAAGAAAGAGAGGCACACAAGGAGAAGGAGAGGGAGCGAGAGAGGGAAAGTCACCGGGAGAGGGATCGCGAGCGAGAGCACCGGTAAAAGCTCGTCTTTGATATTCTTGAATTCACAGGACCTCCTCTTTGAAGTGGCGCGTTGATAAACGTTTCTGCTTATAGTATGGACTCCCAAATGCCCACCAATTATACATGAGGAATTTAACCCTAGCCGGTGGGCTTAGGGTCAAGTTGTGTATCGAGTCTTGTTCTATATTCGTGGCTTAGTGATCCTAGCTGATACACCTGTTGCACACATCTGTAGCGTAGTTACCGTGGTTTCAGGTTGTACTAGTTTTGTGTACTTACTGGAACTTTCTGGCAAACGATTCACACGCTAGCGAAAATTAAATCTGTGGTATGGTCGTTGTTTCGCAGCAGGTCAAGGGAGGCTAAGGACAGGAAAGAAGATCCTGCTTTGGCTGAACCGGAAGCGGACCCAGAACGCGATCAGCGAACTGTTTTCGCGTATCAGGTACTACGGGTCATTTCACCAAGTATTTGGGCTGTCAAATACCTGGAAACGATATGCAAGCTCCTTAACCATGTTGTATGGCACATCTAACCCGTTTTGACCGGTCCTTGTGATGTGAGGAATGTTGAGAATGTGCATTTTCCGCTTCGTGACTCCTGTCTTCACTTTGTATTATAGCTTTTCAGTTATCGTCAAGTTCAGCTACAATTGTCGTTTTTCCCACCAATATTTGTGCACACCACCGGCGTCTACTGGCTGGAAGAGTTTTCTCTGTCCGCACAAGTCCGCGCCTGGGGACTGTCAAATGATTTGGGGACGTAGGCAGTGCCTCGCATACAGCTGATCAGCTTGTGAGGTGAATAGAAGTTCCTGTTTGCTCGTTTGAGTTCGGATAGACTCCCATAGTTTTGTTAGAAGAGCAGAAATGAGAAGCGCGTTGCACGTCGTTTCATCTATCCGCAGGTACCACTTTAGTTATCTGGGGTCAGCGTTTTCTCCTGCCACTTTCGTCTTACAGCTCAAGTCTGTTGGAACGAGACGCCGACCCTGTCGATTGCTTTGGGACCTCGATTACAGTGTGTGAGCGCATTATTAACTAGAACGATTACAATTTGTTTGGTGGCCAAGAACTGCGTGTTTCTCTTTCATCCTGTGATCTGGCTGGGCTCATCTGTTTAAGTGTCCAACGCAGAAATCCAGATATAGGGGTAACATCTGTCACTCCCTCCGCTCCAAGAAACGGTCAGGAACTGATTGTAGTTGCATCTATCCATATGTACATGCAGGACTCGGTTGATGTGATTTTGGAAAGTAATGCGCTTCTGGTTCCATTGAGTTGTTAAGAGGGGCTTAAGCGCCAGGAGATTGTACTGTAGGGACACTTCATTGTGGGTTGGGGGTTTTTGGTTCTGCAGGTTTAAGTTGTCGGTCTGAGTTAGCTGTTCTTCAGGCAGTGTAAGCTCCTATCTCTTGCTGCGAGTGAGGATAGCTGTGCTTTGAAGAATGGGTTGCAGGGCAGCACTGTCCGGACATGGCGGTGTTGTTCCATCTCAGATGAATCTTTCCAAGCTCGTCAAAATTAGAGAATGAGTCAAGTTTCCATCTGCCAGAGTATATTTGAAGAAGGGAGATGGAAGTCTGCTCGTGTATTTTTTTGTCTGTTCAGCCAGCGCTTGCCGTATCTTTGACCTGAGAATTTGTAGATTCACTGCTCGGGTTTTCTCGTATAAAATTGGGGAAAGAATGGTCATACCCGAGAACACAGCTACTGAACGATTTACGTAGGTCATCGTGGTCAAAGTTATCCCTAAATCTCACGTTAGCCCTCTTGGGAGTTGTATATGTTCGAAGATACTATGTCCATGTCACTTTGACCACATTGAGATTCTGAAAAGAAGTTTGTCTCTATCATGGATCAGATCTGGTGGAAGACGATAAAATGATTGGAAGTTGCACCTGTTTGTAGCCTGGACAGCTTCAACGGAAGTTGGCAGTTACCTTTTTGGAGCTAGGCTCTGACTGGGCACATTAACCAACTTGGAATTTTTATTTGCTGCAGATCTGTCTGAAGGCCGACGAACGGGATGTCTACGAGTTCTTCTCCAGAGCTGGGAAGGTCAGTGGAACTCTGATCTTACCGATTCACCATTATCAACAGCTAACTTTTACATTCGCCCACAGCAACAATTATCCAATGTTTTGCATGCCTCAAGGCTACTCTGATGCACCATAATCAACTAATCGACAGCTTGCTTATTACCACAACACGTTGTTTACAGGTGCGAGACGTGCGTCTTATTATGGATCGAAACTCAAGGAGGTCCAAGGGCGTAGGGTGAGCCAATCGATCCACATGTTTCATCACTTTTAAAAAATATGTTCCAATCCGCTATGGCTGTAGACGGGTCGGCCTAGTTAGTTAGGATATTTTTGGTGCTGTAGGATACTTTTACCGTTGTGACATTAAAGGGGCGTAACTTGGTCACCCGTTTTGTTTCATCCTTGGTCGCCTTGATGGGGTCTTACCATCCTTTGTCATCTACTTGGCCTCCGAGTCATGGTTCTAGGGAAATAGGGAGCTAGAGTTGATTCGGATTTTCAGCGTAGATACATCATTTTGGTCTGTATTTTTTGCTGCTAGATTTTTGTAACAAATTTTACCTAAGAATGCCGGTTTGTCATGAGGACAGAATTTCACATAGGATTATCGAACATCTCTTTACTCTCGAACAGATACTTCTGCCATGCTGAACAGATGTGTGTGTTACATTTGATGTGTCAGGTACATTGAGTTTTATGACGCTATGTCTGTGCCCATGGCGATAGCACTGTCCGGTCAACTCCTCTTAGGCCAGCCTGTCATGGTAAAGCCTTCCGAGGCTGAGAAAAACCTGGTTCAATCAACAACCACTGTGGCGGGAGGTGCTGGTGGTTACATTGGTCCTTACTCAGGAGGTGCTCGACGGTTGTATGTCGGAAACTTACACTTCAATATGACTGAGGATCAACTGCGCCAGGTAATCGTTACAGCGTTGTCTTATATTTTATTAAGCCTGCCTGAATGACTGGGGCTTTACAAGCCCTCCAGCATTTGAAGCACAGGAGCTCGCCGGAAGTTTTTACTTTCATTTGAAGGAAAAAAGCCGAAAAGAGTAGTTTACTCTCTGTTTGAAAGATTTTCAATTTTCGTCGCGTTTGCCTAGCGACTAAGGTGTTTGCACAGACTTCGGTAGCTTGCGATACAGCTGAACATTCCTAGGCTTCGTCTTATCCCATCAGTCTGTCTGAAATGAATATTGCAGGTGTTCGAGCCTTTTGGACCCGTAGAGCTCGTGCAACTTCCTACTGATCCTGAAACTGGCCAGTGCAAAGGCTTTGGATTTGTTCAGGTATGATCACGATATAAGAGAGTGTAATATGTTTCATGTCTGGTCAAACTTATGCTGACAATACTTTCATGCGAGAAGCTAAAAGCTTATTTGGCTGCGCAGTATGCCAGATTGGAAGATGCGCGTGCTGCGCAGCAGAATTTGAATGGAGTGTTGGAGCTAGCTGGCCGCCCAATAAAGGTCATTGATGTAGAATCTCTAAACCCTACACTTTTTCCTTTCTGCTTCGTCAATTCCGAGTTCTACGTTTTGAGTGCATTGTTTCTATTTCGTTAAACAAAGTCTGTTTTATCCTGCCTTTTTTAATCTCTATCGCCATCAGATTAATTCTCTGAATCTTTGGTGCGTACTGGTGATCTATCCATGCCATTATGCAATGCAGGTATCTGCTGTGTCGGATCAAATTGGAATGCAGGACATCGGTGTAAATCCAGGGGAGCTGGATGATGACGAAGGTGGTGGTCTGGTAAGCTTATAATTGCTGTCCGCATCACATAAAGTTTCCACCCCGTTGAGCAAGTCTGAAAGGATTCCTCCACCAGAAACTTCTATTCTTTTCACGGAGCAAGACAAGCCTCGTCATGGGCACGATTGATTTACGGGCGTAAACATTAACATTGCTGGGCAGTATATGTTGGAATTTGTCCAAATTCTTATAGTGTATTGGAAAATGTGTAAGTGACCGTGTTTTGTCACTTCTCCTCTTGCAGTCTCTCAATGCCCGCTCACGGGCTTTGCTGATGCAAAAGCTGGATCGTAGTGGAACTGCTACCAGGTGGGTTTTGTTAAAACTATTTATTTGAATGGTTATTGTCTTTCATTAACCCGGGTTGTTATTGCATGCTTCCGCTTTTTCTCATTGATCTCGTTGTGTCTACCCTGCCCATGACAGTGTTGCAGCCTCTGTGCCTACTCCATTAGCTGCGCCTGCTTTGGGACTTCTTGGTGCTGCGGTGCCCGGTGTTGCGGCAGCAGTCGCACCTTTGGTGGCAAATCCCTTACTTGCGGCACAAGTTCCTCTACCCGGGATGGCTCTTGCTGGCTTGACTAGTCCTGGCCTCGGTGCCCCAGCATTAAGTGCAACACCTGTAGAGCCAATCGGGGTTCCAAGCGAATTCTTGCTGTTGAAATATATGTTCGACCCCAAGATCGAGGTAAGCAATGAATGTAACGTGGATTTCTTTTGAATTATTGGCGGTTTGATTATGGCATACGATGAAATAAACCTTTTTTTGAAACTTATATTCAGTCATAATTTCTCAACCACGAAAACTAAGATAATGTGGATGCTTCTGATTTTTTGTGGCAGACGGATCCAGACTTCGATCTTGATATTAAGGAAGATGTGCAAGACGAGTGTTCCAAGTTTGGTCAAGTGAAGCACATTTTCGTTGACAAGTAAGTTCTCCACTGTCTGAAGATGGCTCGTTGCGTAAGCTCGTTCTACCAGATTGTGTGCATTCTCAGTCCTCCCGAGGCCCAACCCTTCTGCTTTCACCGGTGGTATATGAATTTGTAGTAAAGAGTCTCTTGTAGTTTGGAGCACTCACTCTTAAGGCATGCTAATCATGAACATATGATTGGACTATTCCAGGGACTCTGGATGTCTAGCTGAAGAGTGTACATCAGGCTCGACACGGCTTTCAATTTGCGCCCTGCGACGTGGCCTTATGATTCTGACCATTAACCTTGGCATGGCTGCACTAAATTAGGCGTCACAAGCCTGTTCGTTCCTGTTTAAGGGTGGTGGGTCGCTCATACGGCATGCTTGAGTTGCCTAGTGGGTGTCCCTTTACTACGTCTGATCTTGAGAATTGGTCTTCTGAAGCCTTGCCTTCGTTCCTGCAAATCGCAGTTAAAATTCTAGCATGGGTTGACCTATTTGGTCAGCGAGCTTGAATTCCTGAATCTAGGTTTCTCTGTGCGATTTTGGTCAAGGTAGACTGTACATACTGGTGCTGGCAAGAGCCAGCTTGAATGTTGGGCTGCAGCAAACAAGGTAGGCCTGGAAAGGTTTCTGGGTTTCAACAGTGCAGCATTCTGGTCAAAACATACTCAGAGTAAAGAAGGTGCTCTAAGTCAATTATTCTAATCGTCTGATCCCTCTGAGATGCTACTAATCTCTTGATTTGTAAAGCCCAATCAAGATCCCCTTTTCACAGTTTTCCTTTCTTGATTGTGCAGAGGACAACCCATTTGCGGTGCTATCAAGCCTTTCATACAAATTTGCCCTGCTCTATCTACTACTTTTTTGTTCATCTCAAGTCATCCCATGAGATGTTCAGGAGTAAGATCTAGGCTTGTGTATGCGTTCATTATTTATCAAATGCAGGAGGCAATGACCGGACTAACCCTGATATCCTGTTTCAAGCGTGGTCATTGAGAGCGAGAGAATGGTTTGGTGTGCCTAAAGCCTCTAGCTTTGTATTGACGGTGTTTTTCGTTGAGTATGTGTTGAATGCAGGAATAGTGCTGGATATGTGTACTTGCGCTTTGATTCCACGCAAGCGGCTATAAGTGCTCAACGGGCTCTGCATGGAAGGTGGTTTGCTGGGAAAATGATCACAGCCACTTTCATGGTATGTAGTGTTACTTAACTCCGTCTGTTACGGAGGACTATACACACAGATACAGACACAGATATCGCTATCTGTAAGATTGTTCGATACAAATGGCCATTCGTTAGAGCCATTCGAATTTAGTATTCCAATTTGAACAACAATATAACTTTCTAGCATTCTTGTGAATAGATGTCCGCCTTCGAAATGCGAGAAGCACAACTCGCATCGCAATTATGTTTCCATCACAAATTTTATGTGTTGTGGTTCGTAGCTTCTTAGGCCTTGGAATTATGTAATCTTATGCCCTTTTTTTTGGGTTGTGCAGACCATTTTGGCTTACGAGACCAAGTTTCCAGACAGTAAATGACCGAATTTGAGGCAAGAAATGTAGAGTGAGGATCTCACTACAGAGGATGGGAATCCAGTCGGCAGTCAATATTACTGAAATACATACACTGGCTCTCCTCGGCTTGTTTTCACCGGTAAGTAAAGTCAAGATATCAAGCAAGATGAGTAGCAAGCAGCATTTTGGTTCGGATAGCAGCTCTACGCAATTGTAGATGTGGTACGGTATCCAGCCGAACTTACCAAACCTGAGTTTTTAGGTAGGGTAGAGTAAGTTTTAGTTTAAGAGCTCGAGTCGGGAGTTGAGCACCATTTGCTCTGATTGCTGAATCTCTTTGGTGAAGAGTTGTCTCAGATGATGCACAGCCGACAGAGCCGTTTTCCATGGCGTCGGTATATGCCTTTAAAGAAATGCATATTGGTGGGTACATGTCATATACATTGACCCATGTTCATTTCGGAGTGTGAATGAATGGGTGCACTACTCTAGAGTGCCGAGTGACTTGATTGTTAACCTGCCTAACTTAGGCTGGTGCTGACATCTCAGCGTACATGATTCGATGCAACGGATTGTTTTTATCTTGGAAATTTCCTCAAAATTTTGTATATTGCATATGTTTGTGATTATCTATCAAGATTTAGATACTTATGCTTATAACAGGAACTAACGATGCAAGATTTGTTGGGTTTCAGAAATTTTGTTTGATCTTCATGGATGGATTGTCTTCGAAACTTCCTCCTCCTAGATATATATCCTCCATGTTGCCTAGATAAGCTTACCATTTGACACGAAAGTAGCCGGGCAACACCACGAAGAATCATTGTGTGTTTGTGTATCATCTATGGTGGTTTGCCATCGTTGTGCCATTTAAGCCCGCATTGTAGCCTCCAAACATGTGTGAAAGGTGTCAGGAGAATTTCGTACTGAAACTTGTGCAATTTCTGCGAGAGAATCATACGTCTAATATTAGGAATGACTGTTGTTTTATTAATTCCTGTAATTTGTTCTATCACAGAGATGACTTTTAGCAGAGGGGTGAAATTTTCCCACTCCCAAGTGAAATGTGACGAGACTCGTACGACTCAAACCCATCCAACCCGTCGCCAACCAGGAGTCAGTGGGAGTTTTTTCCTTTCGGAAGGATGATAATAGCCGCTGAGTTGGGTCGGAATCAGACATCCGGAGAATTGACAACCCCGATTCGTGAAAACAAATCTGTTTCACCTGTATCGCAGGATGTGGGAACGCTTACTGATCTGAGTATCAGTTGATAAGACCACCATTCGTCTTCAATTATTAATACTCTGGAGTTGGCCTTTGTTTTGTTGTATAAGCAGACACCTATGGAAGCTTGCAAATTGAGTAACCTGCTGCACATCGCAATAGGTTTCCCATCCTCATATATATGTGTTCGCTCCGCTATACACATACTACTCGAGTTCAAGAAATATACTGCGGAAGGGAAGGCTCGATACGTGGGTGGAAATGAACAACAGGTCGTAGTTTTCTAATACCGCAACTGGGAAGTTTTCATGAAAATACAAACTATTACACTGAACAATCGCAGAGGAATCGCAATTTACGACATCTTAGTTATATATGTAATAGCATAATCTATAATGTTGCAACCTACCTTGGTAACAGCTCTGATGTACATTTTGCACATTAATGATCCTACAAACTTTAAACCTCTGTTCATTTTCGTTGGTCGTATAACTAAAATTTGTATGTATGGTGCGACAGTGATTGTCGATATCGTGTAATTATTAGTGTCCGCGTAGTGCGATAACCATTCTCAATATCATGTAATCGATCCCCCACTTCACAATGTACAATGAGAAAGCCTTCAAGAGATAGCTCGAAAGAGCGTAAGTGTAAGCGGATGGGGAAGAAGAGGGACAGAACGGCCAATTATTAGGTGAGGAATGATATAGCACAATTTAACGTCCGCAACTGTGACCATAATCTGAATCTACATATCTAGTTCGTCAAGCAGAAATAAACATATTGAGTTCTAACTGTTCTATACTGCTTGTTAATTTATATATCGAGAGAGGATCAGAGACAGTATTTTCTAATCATTCTCGTGAATACATATACAGCGTATATAGAAGGATTTTGAAGCATTTTGTCAAACGAAGATGTTGTCAATGCGAATAGAAGAGGTGAATTGAGAAACATACATAAAGAGAAATTTTATGATATTGGTGGTGAATTTACCTTGATGCAGTTTCGAAATGCCGGGAAGTGAGAATTCATAGTGTGAATTCATTTGGCTCCGCAACAAAGGAACATTTTTCCAAGCTAGAGCTGGAGGTTGGCCATTGGTGAAAAATATATGGAGATACGATTACAAAGCTATATTGTAATGTTATCTACCCATGACACTTACTTCTTATCAGATTTCCAGTTTTCAATGAATGCTCATAACATTTAATGTGGTTGAATTGACCTTCACCTACAACAAAGACAGAATATATATTCAGAAGATGTGTTTATAGTTATAATATCTCGGTGTTTTGTGAAGAAAGAAAACGAGTTGCATATCAAAACCTTGAACCCTATAGTTTTGATGAGTTTAGTTTATATTAGATAACCCTAAACTCATCAAAACATAAAATATCTCAATAACAATTATACCCCTAAAGGGAAATAATTTCATAAAACAATATGTATAGATGACGTGACCTTTGTGACTAAGATCAACAAGCATGATGTTATAATATTCTATTGTTAACGGCCTATCTGCAATCATTATCATGAAAAAATAATTGAACCACCTTGCTTGCTTATGAACCACATCATGTACAAGGCCAGCTGGACTTAAAAATGTCATATTGTGAGAGTAAAGTCAGATTCAGAAGGCGAACGAACAAAATTGCATTATCAATCAATGCATTCACCATCAAGTATGAATATATACATAAATGTATATGATACCTTTTCTAGATCTTGTACATATTGCACATCAACATAACGTAACAAAAATTTGATATTGTTTCATAAATCATCAAACAAAATATCATCATCCTTAGTATATTTGAGATTATGAGTATCAATTTAATAAATTTTCAATGCATATTTTCAAGTTTTGAGATGTAACATCTCACCTTGATCATAACGTGAGCAATATTAAATCTATTTTATATCGTCAAATAAATGAGATTATTCATTACTTTGTCATTAGAAATAAATGATAGATTGGTTTTTTGAAAAAATGAGCATGTTATTCACATAAAATACTAATATAATAATACTAAGGAGTTCATTATTTAAATTTTCATGTATACACATGAATTATATACATTACTTATATTTTTTTTTTTGCTTTGATAAACTCATCAAATCTTGCATCCTAGTACTAGAAGCTTGTTTCATTTCATATAATAATTTTAGAAATTTCAAAAAACAAAGTTTTTTTACCTTTTTTCTTAAAAGAAATCGATTTTTTCATATATATTTTATACTACAAAGATACATAAAAATGGCTATAATTACATTCATTTGATCCATAATTAAATATCATAGCAAGTGCATTATCTGTTAATTTGTAGCATATGTTGCTATTAGTGTAAAACTTTATTCCATAGTTCTTTCTTGTGTGAAATTTATAACCATCAATCTAGTTTTGAAGAATTTTTTTTTATCATCAATCTATAGAGTCAAATGTTACTAACCAAAAAATATAATTTTTGAAAGTTTCATTAGCTTCCACGTCTTGTTGATAGTCATTAATTGTATCTCCTATTCCATAATGGTGTTCTATTCAAGCTTACTGATAGAACATATATATATTTGAACAAGATAATTTTCTTTTAAGATCAACACTCTGCAATCACCATACTAAGTGTCAATATCATGGTCATTAAGATTGAATCAATTTATGATTCAATTTGATGATCTTATAGTAGACAAATATTCTCTTTTTATATTTTTTGTTGCAAAAACTTCAGACTCAACAGTTATAAGTTGTCATGCTAATCTTTACTACTTAAAAATTTGTTTCACGTGTTTTGAAATTATTTTTTGTGTCTTATTATCAAATCCATAATGATCAATCTTACTCTCAATATCATCTGTGACTGGGACATTGTACTTGTTTATACAAGAAGCTTGAATAATCTACTCATTTTTTAAAAATATAAGCTCATAAAGAAAAAATATCTCTACTCATGATAACCTTTCAGATATAAAGTCTCATATCATATGATCATATCCATCACAATCATTCATTAAATAAACAATTATTGGATGTAAAAAACACTTTGACATATTCTTCATAGGATAGAAGTATAAAAGTTCAAATAGTGCAATCAAATTTTATTGTGCAATTCTAATCATCCATACATTCGTGAGTTAATCCAAAAACTGCTAAAAACTTTATTAACCTGAAGCAGAAAAATTTGTCAAATACATCGTAGCATTGATAATTTAGCTCAAAAGAAGCTAAACTAAAAATTGAAAAAAAAAGATTAAAATTAGTTCAACACTTTGCACACATTATTTGATTTTATCTGATTAAGACATTGAGAAATAAAATTTCATTGGAGAATATAAATATGATAAGATGACAAAATTTTATTTTTTTTGCATTAACTTTTCAAATTCTTAAAAATATACATTTTGCAATTATTTGTACGTGGATATATCATATTGCATCTAGTCTTATTATTATTTTGAATTTTTTAGATTTCAAAAGATTATAGAGAATTTTTTATTTTCTGTGTGTAGAAATAAAAATTTATTTATTTATTTAGTTCTCTTTAATAAATGATACACAACATAACTTGGTCTTAATTGAGATTCCTTGAAGCAATCTCTCAAATTATTATGTACATGATCAAATAACTCAATCAAAATATGTGTATTAATATAAAAAGCTTTCACATGATGCTTGTTCATAACACAATGTCATAAAATTCCAAATCAATCTTAGCTGTGTCATACAACATTCTCTATTGCCAGGTACTGACAAATAATTATACGAAGTATTATTCATTTCTCCTACCTTCAATAGCTTTACATGAAGGATCTCAATTCAATATTTAGTAGTGATGACTTCTTCACAAATTGTAATGTTGTCACGTTGAGCAGATTCTTTCTACTAGTATGAAGATGTATAATTTAGGTCTCAATATTTTGTTCAATTCCATAATTTTTAGTTTTGCCTATGACTTGTTTCTTTTGTATTAATAATCATCACGTCTATTCTATTTGATAATATAAAATCGAGCTACTCTAGATTTATGAAATCTAGTATTTTTTTCCCATTTGATATTTGAGGTTTATACTTATCTTGTTTTTTTGAATGATTTTTTTTTCACTCACATGAAAAAATCACGCAATCTGTGGAGAATTTTAGCAATTAGAGTAAGATTTAAAAAAGTTTTAAGTTTAAAAAATCCTATATTGAAAGATTAATAATATAATTCTAAATATTTGTTGCTTCATTTTTTCCAAAAATTTTATTTATTTTTTCAAAATTTAATTTGTGACATTCTTTATCATTTAAAAGTTTTTTATTTTATTTTTTCAAATAAAAAAGACATCAATTCATGC